AACGCCCCCACTATCGGAGGAATGCAGGCTAACAGGAAAGGCAGATCGTAGGAACCTGGCATTTATAACATAATTAATATATTTTATTAATTATTCATTTTTTACAAATATGTAACAAAATTTCAAAGAAAAAAAGGATTTTTTGCTCTTTCGTTTTCTCATTCTATCGACGATAAAATAATTATTAAGAATCAAGTTACCAGTATGATCGTACAGAAGTCCAGCGATGGGTGGACCAACTGTTAAAGGTATAGAGCACATTCCTAATAAAAATCCAATGGCCTGAGCCGCGCCGCTGCGACCGCAGATATCGAATACGATCGGACCAAGTAACGATATAAAGCATCCATCGAACAATCCCATGCCTAGCGAGATAGTCAGGAGGACAAAGAAGGACTTAGTGGACGGAAGAAACATCGTGAAAATGCCGATACTTATAAATGATATCTAAAAAAAAACAAGAGTTCTTTATTTTTGATATCTAGATATCAAATGTTACGAAACAGAAGAGTGTAGTGTAGAATATTTTCAGTTATATGTTTACCTGTTGTAAGAATATTCTATTCACTCTCGGCAAGTCAGCTATGTAGCCGAAAACTAAACGGCCAATACCGGAAGCTATACCGATGCACATAACCGGTAGTTTACTATCGGCATCCTTGAAGGTCATAGACACGAATTTTCCTATGTGCACATATGGGACGAAATACCTGCAAAGCACAATCAATAGTTTTAATATCTGTACGAATAGATCCATATATATATAATCGTTCTCTATAATTAAATAAGATAGAATATAATTATGTGATAGAAAGACAAATAATATTCACATAAAAAAACAAAATTCAGAAGAAAGACTAATCAGTTGACGCAGTTAACAACTACTCCAAATATCACTTCAAAAAAATTTCCATACGAAAGTAATCGAACAACGATTGTTTTGTGACTGTAGTAATTTATTGGAATTATCTATTTGGACTTAATCTTCACAACTTGAGATGTTATTTATGTATCATGAACTGCGATAAACTGAGAACATACTTCATTTTTATCGTAAAGTAATCGGGGCTGAGCGTAATGTTTGTGCGAACAATTTACTCACCCAAAAAGAGCGAGAGGAATAGAGACAGCCCATACGACATATCGTTTTTTCTTCCAAATAGATACATTTACGAGTTTTTTAAGACCATTTCGTAGCGATGTTTTGTGTTGTTCACCTTCCTGTGGCATATTTGCTGAAAAGAAGATGCTTGTTAATCTTTACATCCTCGTTACACACACACATACACAGACATTATAGTTATTAATAAACTTTAAATTAACTTTTAATCTATTTCTAAATATGTAATAAAAACTATACAATCTCGCATTATAATATAAAATCTGCGCACATATTTAATTTTAAGAGTAACAAAAGATGAAGCCATTTTCATAAATTTTATATGATAATCCTCATATGACATTTTATATATATCGTCATAAAGGAATAAATAAAGATGCAAATAAAATCGACCACAAATATTTGCCAACTTTGAAGGAAGCTTACGTGGTATCGGCTTGAAAAGAACCGCGCAAGCCATGACAATGGCCGTGAGTGCGGCCAGGCTTCTCAATGTTCCTTCCAGACCTATACGCCGTAACAGGTATTCCATGAGGAACGGAATGACCGCCGTGAATACGGAACTTCCGGCCGTGACGATGCCGTTCACCAAGCCGAGATACTTCTTGAAGTAGTGACCCAATATCGCCAGGCTCGGGGTGTAAGCGAGACTTGCACCAAGACCGTACATAACGCCGTATGTTAAATAGAGCAGTTCCACCTGATGAAATACAAAGCAGAATGTACATTTTTCTTTTGTGAGCGAATTAAGAAAATCACCATGGGAAAAAATTAATCACATATTTTTCTTTCTATTACCTTATCTGTTAACAGCGAGGAAAGAAGCATGCCAACAGACGCGATCGCACCACCTACGAAGGTGGTTACTTGGATGCCGAACATGTCCGTTAATATACCGGAAATCGGTGATAAGAGGAATGTGATTCCGATAGTTAACGAGCCAACCAAAGCTAAAACAATTTCGTTTCAAATTAGTTAACACAGATAAAAAATAAATCTTCTAGAATTAATTCAGGAGATAATTTTTTCTCGATAAAAAAAAAGTCAAAAAAAATTATTATATTTCTTTCAACAATCTTTTTATTGTTATTTATCTCCGATTTTTGTATTTTTACATAAATTATAATTTATTCTTCGACTAAAACTCCAATAATAGACGAGTAAAGAATTATGTCAATTAAAGATCACGGCGAACAGGATATACGTTGCAAATTAATAGCGCGTATTTAGGTCGGCATTTTATGAATTACACATTTCTTTTTCGAGATGAGAACGATTAAGTTGTTTGAGCAGTACATCAGCAAGTAGTATGAATTAACCTCTATTACTATAAATGAGTGTCTAATTGTTGGACAATTTAGATCCTACATATTTAAGGGCATTACCCATATAAACAATTAATCTCGTCGGTGGCTTTTAATTTATGTATCGAACGAATGATTCTTTCATTCGCTACTCAGTTTGAGTAGATTTAAACATGAAAGAGATCAAATAAAAAGAGAGAAAGGGATAAATATATAATAATCTATAATAATAATAATGAAAGACGTCGTTCGTGTAATCGATACAGCGTTATCGAAATAGACAAAAACGGATTTGCAAGCATAAGGAATTCAGATAATGAAGTTCATCGAACCGCATATCCCCTCGTGATATCCCCTCGAGTATCCACACGCAATCGGTTTTAAAAACTGCGATATAATTATGAGGTGTAATTAAATCCCCGCCACACACACACACACACAAAGACATAAATCGTCAATTGTTAAATGCGTGATATCCGAATCAATACGTATATATAAATATATATATACAAACTACTATATATATATATTCTGCGATATATGTAATTAAATCCCCGCCACACACACACACACACAAAGACATAAATCGTCAATTGTTAAATGCGTGATATCCGAATCAATCGAATCAATA